GTTTTACCGAGATGTTCCAAACAATGTATCAATATCATTTTGCAAATAACTCAACTTTCGTCACAGCCTCAAATCATTTTGGCCAAATTTGGAAAACATCATTAAATATGCTAATGTAATCAGCAAGATAATGATGGCTGATGAAAAAGAAGAAAAAACATAATTTACCACTGACTGTCAAAGTTAATGATATGTCAACAATTCTGGTCATTACTGTAGTAATTCATGTGTATCTGGCATGTTATTTTTTAGAATAATTAAACAGATGGTTAACAAATGTTGGTTTTAAAATTTGGGTGGTTCCACAAATTTTACTGTGAGCTGTTAAAACATGAGATATAATCCATTCTGAAAAATTTCATGTGTGCGCATCAGTAATTGACAAATTAATTGTCAAAGGTTGTTGTGTCGCTTCCTGTTGTTATAGGACTCAGAGCGACGTACACAACGCATGTAAAATACCCAAAATAGAAACACATACTGTGTGATAACCACCACCCTTTAGTTTAGTTGTATATTGTTAGCAAAAAGCCACTATCGTTTTCATGTATATATGTATAGTGTATTTTACGCACATCGTATGTGTTACATGGTCCCATATCAAATTATGTAAATCACTTAGTTTTGCTTTCGTGATATGATGAAAAAAAAATTCACGAAAGTTGCTGACAATCTTTGTATTATGGCCCAAAAGAAATTTTCAATGCAAAACAATTTTGCGATTTTTTTGTTAACCTGCGAAACTTGTTCTCACTTGTGTGAGTTGGCCATCATAATTTAAATATTAGTTACGTTCTTTTGTTGTTATTATTTTAAAACTCTTTTTTACTGTATTTTCCTTTGTAAATCTATTTACACGGAGGCAATAAAGTTATTATTATTATTATATTTTCTGCTACCATTTCAAATATGTTTATCTGAACAAAGGCTGCTTGTTGAAATCATCAATATATGATATTTACTAGGCACAGCAGGATGATGGGGATGAGGTACGAGTGAAGAAAGCTAAATTACCAATGAATATTGAGGAAGAACCCAATATACCAGTATTGAATTCACAACCTAGTCCGGGTCAGTTAACAGAACAAGGAATCAAAGAAATGATGGCCAATGCAAGGAGAGCTATAGAAGCTAGGAAAGAACAGCTGACAGGTTTGGTAAGATACACCACGTTTCTAATTATAACTTTGCTACTTGTGCTATTTTTTAAGAATCATGTCACTTCTGATTGTACATTTCTATGGCAGGGCTTGAACTTTCAAAGTTGAAATGACACCCCTTTTCAGGGCAAAATATTGTAAAATTGCCTTAGTATATTCGTAAGGCACGAATATTTTTGGAAGGGCAGAATTCCCACTATAACCTTATATTCACAGTTGACGAAATACAACATAGCGCTGCATGCTCTTGTGTTTCTATGGTAGATGGAACATGAAGTCAATTGCTGTGATGCGTTTCCATGGAAACATGGTCACATGTTTGTGTCAGTTAAGCTGTGACCTGATATAAGACGGCAAAATCTATTGGTTTAAATTTAAAATTGATGAGAGTTGCAGTTACAAGAACACTGATTTTGGGATCCAGCACTTGGCTTGCCCAATCTAATCATTCAATTTAACTGAGGTCAAATACAACTTTTGCAAACACAATCATGCACTGATTCATAGTGACTACCGCGGGTTGTCGGCTGCAGCAAAACTGTGCGAATCCGACAATAATTTCTTGAAGTTCAACCTCTGGTATGCTGTCCATATACCTTACCAGTTAGAAATACAGTCAGTATTTCTGATTGCTAACAAGGCTTTCTAAACAGGGCAACAGTTTGGCTGTACATCCATGGCATGTCTATCCTACATTATTTCTTTTGAACAATGCTTAGCGTATTTGAAAGTGCATCTCCAATGACAACCCTCATACACTAGAAATTGCATTTACTGTGTATTAGATCATTAAAATATTCCATTTGCGTAAGCACTACTAATAGTGAATGTAATGTTTCTGTAATGTTTACAGGCCCCAGGGTCCATGTCAGTACAGTCCATGATGCCTCAGGCTCAGTCACAAGCCTTGATGAATGAAGCTTTAGAAAAAGCCAGGAAAGCTGCTGAAATCCAGGCAAGAATTCAGGCTACTCTTAACAGGCAACCTGGTTTGTTACCGGGGAATATACCAGGAATTAGAATGATACCAGGTCAGCCTTCAAAGTGAGTATTCAAATCACAATCCACATAAGCATGACATACAATGTATAAAAATGTAATAGGGGGTGATCTATGTTGTTTTGAGTGTATACCAAGGCCCTATGATGGCATGAAAATTACAAATAAAATACTTAAATAAATTATTTCATTGGACTTTATTTTTTATGTTAATTTCATTTTTTTCTAGCATCGATGGAAGAGATTATTTTCTATGTATGATGTAATATAGATGATTTTTTATGTGTACTTCAAGGCCTTCTTTCTACATGTATATGCTAAATAGAAATTAATTCTAGTGAAATAAATATAGATGTTTCAATCAAATTACAGAAATGTTTCAATCAAATTACAAAGATGTTTCAATCAAAGTACAAAAATGTTTCAATCAAATTAAAAAAATGTTTGATCAAATTACAAAGATGTTTCAATCAAATTATAATAATGTTTCAATCAAATTAGAAAGATGTTTCAATCAAATAACAAAGATATTTCAATCAAATTACAAAAATGTTTCAATCAAATTACAAAGATATTTCAATCAAATTACAAAGATGTTTCGAAGTACAAAAATGTTCCAATCAAAGTACACAAATGTTTCAATCAAATTACAAAGATATTTCAATCAAATTACAAAAATGTTTCAATCAAACAACAAAAACGTTTCAATCAAATCACAAAAATGTTTCAATCAAATCACAAAAATGTTTCAAACTACAAAAATGTTTCATTCAAATTACAATAATGTTTCAATCAAATTACAAAGATATTTCAATCAAATTACAAAAATGTTTCAATCAAACAACAAAAACGTTTCAATCAAATCACAAAAATGTTTCAATCAAATCACAAAAATGTTTCAAACTACAAAAATGTTTCATTCAAATCACAAAATGTTTCAATCAAATTACAAAAATGTTTCGATCAAATTACAAAGTTTCAATCAAATTACAAAGATATTTCAATCAAATTACAAAGATGTTCCAATCAAATTACAAAGATGTATCAAATTACAAAGTTTCAATCAAAGTACAAAGATATTTCAATCAAATTACAAAAATGTTTCAATCAAATTACAAAGATATTTCAATCAAATTACAAAGATGTTTCGAAGTACAAAAATGTTCCAATCAAAGTACACAAATGTTTCAATCAAATTACAAAGATGTTTCAATCAAATTACAAAAATGTTTCAACCAAATTACAATAATGTTTCAATCAAATTACAAAGATATTTCAATCAAATTACAAAGTTTCAATCAAATTACAAAAATGTTTCGATCAAATTAAAAGATGTTTCAATCAAATTACAGAGATGTTTCAATCAAAGTACAAAAATGTTTCAATCAAATTACAAAGATGTTTCAATCAAATTCCAAAAATGTTTTAATCAAATTACAAAAATGTTTCAATCAAATTAAAAAGATGTTTCAATCAAATCACAAAAATGCTTCAATCAAATCCGGAGTCATATCTCAGAATCCCTTTGACCGATTCTGTTCATTCTTTGCATGTGCCTCGTACTTTATGTGGGACATATGCACATGCAGTGGTTTGGCGATTCGATTCAAAATGGCTGACTGGCAGCCATCTTGTTTTTTTGAAAATGTTGTATTTTGGACATGCTTTGTCAGTTTTCATTCAAACTTGGTACATAGATTATACATGTTAGGATACATGTCCGTGACGATTTATTTCACAATTGGATCAAAGATGGCCGACTGGCAGCCATCTTGTTTTTTGAAAATGTTCATTCAAACTTAGTACATAGATTATACATGTTAGGATACATGTCCATGACGATTTATTTCACAATAGGATGTATGATTGCCGACTGGCAGCCATCTTGTTTTTTGAAAATGTTGTATTTTGGACATGCTTTGTCAGTTGTCATTCAAACTTGGTACATAGATTATACATGTTAGGATACATGTCCGTGACGATTTATTTCACAATTGGATCAAAGATGGCCGACTGGCAGCAATCTTGTTTTTTGAAAATGTTCATTCAAACTTAGTACATAGATTATACATGTTAGGATACATGTCCATGACGATTTATTTCACAATAGGATGTATGATTGCCGACTGGCAGCCATCTTGTTTTTTGAAAATGTTGTATTTTGGACATGCTTTGTCAGTTGTCATTCAAACTTGGTACATAGATTATACATGTTAGGATACATGTCCATGACGATTTATTTCGCAATTGGATCAAAGATGGTCGACTGGCAGGCATCTTGTTTTTTTTATGCGATATCTTGGACGTGCTCTGTCAGTTTTCATTCCAATTTGGCACATACATGTACTTTATACATGTTAGGATGCATGTCCATGACAATTTGTTTCAAAATCTGGTCAAGGATGACCGTTTGACAGCCATCTGACTTTTTGGCCTTACTACTATATTTCCACAATTTATGTACCATTTTCATTCGTATTTGGCACATACATCATACATATCAGTGTGTTTCATAATCAGATCAAAGATGGCTGAATAACGGCTGTTTTTATTTTTGGCCATATTACTACTACACGGAACACGTGTTTTGATGTAAATAAACAATCTGTTGTATACACCAATTGGAACTCAAGTTTCAAGGACACGCTCCCGACAACCCCTCCGCTTTAATATGACGAGCACAAAGAGAACTTTCAATAATTTAACGGGGACTGTGTCATTTTCAATGACTTGTTAACTCTAATTTGTTTACTGTTTTTCATGTGTTCGGTTTTGACAAGCGTATGACAAACCACTATCACAGTATCAACTCTAATGTTGCTGGACACTGTTCACTGTTTTTCAGACCAACACCATTGATTTTAGATGACCAAGGAAGGACTGTTGATGCTACTGGTAAAGCAATTCAACTGACACAAAGGATGCCAACATTGAAGGTAAATAGACCTTGTACAAAAATGGTTGCTGAAATCGCATGAGAACAATGAAGTCATGTTACTCAATATTTTCTCTTGTGTTCCATTCCTTCTCGTTAAAGTCTACGCTATACACAATATCATGGTTACATAGATCAGGAAAACATTGGATGCGATCACGATAGAGATTGCATCACTATTTGAGGGGAGATCTTGTGTCACTGTTGCTTTCAACAAAATATATATCCTATCTTGATATCTGATCACCCATTGTTGTAGTTGTCCTACTTCTCTTTTTGGATTATAAACACCATATCCATTTCATAATTTTCCTCAAAAATTGTGGAGAAACATTTTTACATTTTTTTACGCATTACAATTTCTTACTTTTAGACCAGTTGGACATCATTTCTAAGCAACTACAGATTTGATCAAAATACTACTTTGCATTAATTTCCATTTTTCTAATGTGCCTATTATTCACAGTTGCATAAATTCAGTGTTTGGCTGGCAGTGTGATTAAATTTTTATAGTCGCTGTATTTTACACTAAATAGATCCCATGTTTAGATTTATTTAAAAAGTTTAGAAGTATTAATTAATGCTGCAATAACATAAATGTAATTAATTAATTTCACTGATATGAAGTGATGTTTAGATAGCTATGGAAGGATACATATTGGTGACCCAATCACAGCCAGTAGTCCGGTAATTCTTTATGTCACTGAAGACTCTGGGGCAAATCACATTTGTAGAGGAATAAATCACTGCACCATCTCACAGTTTCTTTGACTTGCAGTGTAAAAAATAACCTGAACACTTATTGTACTACAGAACTCAGAGATACCAAACGCACTACAAGATGTGTATTGCATGCATTATGGGTTAACTCAATTTCTAGTCATTAGGAGGACTTTTCACATCACACATTTCATCACTTTACAAATTCTCAAGTCACACCCCATACTTTTTTTTTCACAGGCCAATATCAGAGCCAAAAAACGACAGGAATTCAAACTGGTGCAAGAAAAAGCTGTGGATGTCTTCAATGAATCTAGTCAATTCTATGATCCAAGAGTCTTTGCAGCGCCCTCAGGTAGAGCCAAGAGGCAATTCAAGTTTCATGACCAGGGTAAATTTGAACAGATTGCTCAAAGAGTTCGAGCCAAGGTGTGTATTCACATGTATAATTTTATTTAGATTTTTCCTCCAATGCTTGCTAGCATAAGTTGTATGTATTGACACCAATGGAAATGGTAATAAGATTAAGAAATTCAACATGCATGTATTACTTTCTAAATGAATTGACTACAGTATTCTGGTTTGCTTGTATGCTGTGTATCTACTGTAAAAGGATTAATTATTCACTGTGTTTTAATTTAGCTTATTTCGCTGACTGGAAAATGCGCCAAATTAAAACCCAGTGAATATGTTAAATTCAGCATAGAACACATTATCTAAATGATAAAACCGTGTATTTAAACTCCACTGAATATGCCTGAAATGGTAAATCAGCGAAATTTAAACCCAGTGAAAATTAGTCATTTTACAGTAGCATGTTTTTATGATATTAACTGTTGTATCCTTTAATTTGTCTTGTTTATAATGCTCAAGGATATCGAACATGTTAATAATTTTTTTTTTTCAACCATGTGTTTATTTTCAGTCTCAGTTAGAACGTCTTCAACAGGAAATTGCACAAGCAGCCAAGAAGACTGGTATTTCATGTGCCACTAAGCTAGCTTTGATTGTGCCAAAAAAACAAGTGGTATGTACATTATACAGTTATAGCAATGTATTGCACAAGACGAGATTGATTTCTCATATGTGATTATACTAAGGTGTTTGTTGAGATGTTTTAATTACATGAAGCCAGCGTACTCGCATCCCATAAAATTACAAAAATTAAAACTGTCAAAATAAAATAAAAATAGTATCGACAGAGTACAGTGTCTTTCAAGCCAGTTGACATTTGAAATGTCATTTCCTAAAATAAAAAAAGTAGATTGACCTTGATTCCACTCATCTGAGGAATTATCAGATTTGTTGAGTGACTTTAAATCTCTGTGAATAATTTTTGTGATATTTTTTATCTTCTCATTTTTAATTTTAACATTTTTTGTAATAACCATTGTGGGAAATCTGAATTGGCTACAACCATGTACAGATTTGATTAAAAAATCAAAGTTCATTTAAGGAGTCGTATTCCTGTTGTGTTGGCTATTGGTTTACTTTTTCTGATTATTATTTTTTATTATTATTCTGATTTAATTATTTTGATTTTTCAGGCTGAGGAAGAGATCCCTGAAGTGGAATGGTGGGATGCTTTTATATTGCCTTCTGACAGTTATAAAGATGTTCACAGTAAAACAGATTCAGATGGAAAAAAAAATGAAAAATATACCGGAATAACCAGTTTAATAGAGCATCCAGCACAGATGAGGCCGCCAGGTAACACATTTAAATTTGTAATATCCACAAATATGGTGTACGTCAATCTGACTAATATTCCAAGGCATAAACTTTTTTTTACTGTTAGATCTTATGCCTAAGAAATTAGCCCTGGTAATAGCAGTTCCAAAGTTATTAAATACCAGTACTTCTTCCCTAGAAGTGGTGCCCTCTATTGATAACTTCTGTGATGTTAAAGGGGAACCGCTCAATCCCATGGATTGCACCACGTGTTGCATATATTAGCCGCCATTTTAAACTCAGGATTTTTACTTGTCGTGGCACATTTCGACAGAAAACAACAACATTTATATATCAAATGCCCAACCATATGAGTGTAATTGCTAGCGTACATATTCATGCCCCCGTAGAAATGTATTTGGTATCCCAGCTTGATCTCTAAACATCCTAAATGGCACATTTCCCGGAGCTCCCTCCACGATGTGAGTGGCTTGGTTCGGATTAGCATACTAATTGCAGTGGCCATTATGCCACTATTTATAGTATCGGTTCCTCTTTAAAATGATGTAATGGGTAAAAGCAATACTGCTTAAATATACACTGCTTAGTTATGTGGTCTTCTTGAATATAGTAAATATTACATTACAATATTTTCTAAGGAAGACTGAGCATCAATCAAAATATCAACTGTGTGGATGGTTTATTTATACGTTTGAACATACAGAAATGTATTCATTGGTTTTTCTCTGTTTGTAGATGAACCAATGAAGCCGGTTGAACAACCCATATTCCTCACTAAAAAAGAGAGAAAGAAATTAAGAAGACAAGGTAGAAGGGAAGGACAGAGGGAAACAACCGAGAAAATAAGGCTTGGTTTGGAACCACCACCTGAACCCAAAGGTATGATAAATTATCTGCGTTTCGTAGATTAGCAGATAATTGCTATCTATTCGTATGTAAATTATTCACAGGTGGGATTTCACCAGCTCTGATTGGTTAGTGGCTAAGTAGCCAGGTGCTCATGAGTTTATAGTAAGAAGAGTATTCTATTGTATTCAGTCTCAACTGCAAACAACTCACAATGTATTTTTTATTTTTATGAATGTATACTTTTCTTAATATGAATGATGCTCGACATCCACCCCTAGTACATCTGACATTGCGTCTGGTACAGGTTTCCAGATGTTTTTCCCCTTAACAGGTTTTTATACCTGGTTTTTCCTGGGCGGTCTATGTATTCGCGATGAGGGATTCATCATCAATTATTCGTGAATAATTACATATGTAAGGAAGGAATAAATAAACATAATAAACGCGTATCATGGTATGGCTCCTGGGCACTGCAACCACCGCATACCGCATTTCATGCTTGTTGTTTAGTATGAATAATTGAAGTTGAGTATAGATTGTACCCTAAATACAACTGGCATGATAAATTCCACTTACCCTGGACTTGATGTTACAACTGTCTGCAGATTTAAAATGATTACTAACCTTGGACTAGAGATGGCCACTGGCCTTAGACTAGAGATGGCCACTGGCCTTAGACGAGAGATGGCACTGGTACTGGACTAGTGATGGCCACTGTTTCTGGACTGAAGGTTACCAGTGGCCCTCGGCTTTAGATTACTGCCAGTCCTAGGCTTAAGATGACCATTGGAACTAGACTTGAGATGACCACTGACCTTAGACAAGAGATGGCACTGGTCCTGGACTAGTGATGGCCACTGTTTCTGGACTGAAGGTTACCAGTGGCCCTCGGCTTTAGATTACTGCCAGTCCTAGGCTTAAGATGACCATTAGAACTAGACTTGAGATGTCTACTGGCCGTAGACTTAAGGTTAACAGTCCCTAGATTGCCTGATTGAACCATTATAGTATCCTCTCACACTCTACTCTCTGCTTTGTAGTAAGACTGGCTAATTTGATGAGAGTACTTGGAAATGAAGCCGTACAAGATCCTACTAAAGTAGAAGCACATGTCAGAGCACAGATGGCAAAAAGACAAAAGTAAGTATAGCACTTTTAATTATGTTGTGATACGTCACTGTAAGACAGAATATCCTAAAAGTCAAGAAATCGATTGTATTAATTAATGTGGCTCAGATGATCATTATGCCAGTACATAGATTATATTTGTTATACCATCAAACTATTTAATAGTTGAAACTACCCCACATTCCCGTTTGATTCAAAACTTGATCAAAATATATTTAAATTGGCTGGTAACTAATATTTGTTTATAATCTGTTAGAGGTTCTGCCCATATTACTGTTGTCTTGACACAAAGTGAGTGGTAGTATGTTATATTATGAAAACCATATTTCCCAACACATTGCCATACTGTACTAATAATGTACTGTAGAATATTTTCGCTGAAGGGATGATTCCATGAAAATAAAATCCAGCGAATATACTTTTTTTCCTATATTTCACATTAAACTCATGAAAAATCAGTGAAAATAAATTCCAAGCAAAACGCCCAAAAAGCCTTTTCAGCGAAAATTAATTCCAGCGAAAATAAAGTATTCCACAGTATTCTGTAGCAAATCTTGTGTGAACAGCTTTCATGCAGAATTCTGTTCATTCATATTTGCTTTTAGGATTTTTTTTTTAATTTCAACGGATGTTAACGGATTATTAACGGAATAATAATTCAGAAAATATACACATCAGCTGAGCTTTGCCAATATGAACCATCATTACCACAATCTGTCATTTATAAGTTTTGGACAACCTTCATGTATTGTATACAATGAAAACAGTTTTGCAGTATGTGATGCCAAACTATCTGTCCTGTATTTCAGCACTGGAGATACATACGTTGTGTATGTGATCGCAATCAACATTTTCTTTTTTCAAATTTGTTACTCGTGCAATCAATCTAATAACTTCTATTACAATGTACATTTTTATGTCTCTCAAACATTTTCACCACCAGTTCCCTCTTTTATCACAAATTCACATAACAGTCCTGTTTATAGTCTGCACTTCCCTTCAGAAGATTAGGACAAAAATAGCCAAATTTTTTTCAGTAAAAACTAAAAATTGACCTAAATTTTGTCTTAATTAAGGTTCATTTCTAGAAATATTCAAGAATATAAGAAAAAAGTGCAAAAAAATTCTGGCGAGAAAGTCTGGTGGTAAAAAGGTTAAATGAAGGCCAAGTATGTAATAGTTTCACAATGTCGTATTTCCTTTAGAGCTCACGAAGAAGCTAACCAAGCAAGAAAACTCACAGCTGAACAGAAAAGTGCCAAGAAGCTTAAGAAGATTACTGAGGACACATCCTGTGGGGTTCATACATCAGTTTACAGAATACGAGATTTACAGAATCCTTCTAGAAAATTTAAAATCGAAGCCAACTGTAATCAGCTGCATATGACTGGTTTTGTAGTGTTATATCGAGATGTTAATGTGGTGGTTGTTGAAGGAGGTAATCCAGTGAACATTCTATATATACACCTAGATTTAGAACAATCAATTTATTCTCGGGGCTGGAGCAATGTTACAGACCATTCTACGTTTCTAAAGAGCACACCACATTTTTATGGGCTTCTGTGAAACACCTAAAGCCTAGAAAAGAACACTAATTCAATTATGTGACAACCAAATTTATATACATGTTGGTTGCACATGAGAGGTAATCTTGTTGCACTGTTCAGGAGAGTCCATAATACAGTTTTTTCATGAGTTTTCGACTGTTATTTTCACTGGTTGTTGTTGCCAGGTTAGTAAAATGCCCGGATAATCACTTCCAAGAATACTAGTGTATACAAGTTTTGCGTGTAATCATATACTCACCACTATACAGATTGCAAAGAATAAAAAAAAGTCATATGAGATAAATATGTATTTGAGTCTTATAGTAGTGTTTAAAATTTCTTAAAATTGTGTACAAAAATATTAATATTATTTTGAAATACTCCACAAACACTTAAAATTCTGTCAACTAGTGTGTACCCTCTTATGAAGATAAGTCCTGTTAGACGGCCAACACACAAAAGGAATAATTTATAGTTCTTATTACACTTAAGTGTGTCTACTATACTATTGTATATTGCTGGAGTTAGGTTTGCTTATATTGAGTCTGATGTACCGAATCCCTTGAAATGTAAATGTGGTGAACTTTTGAGGTTAAACTTATTGCTAAAGGCAATTAAACGTGAACAACGTCCTGTTGGTAGGATAAGATTACCTTTTACAGCAGATATTGCAGCAAGTTGTGTGGAAACACTAAGAATGGGAGTATTCACACCTTACATAGACTGCCTTTTAGAAGCAGTTATTTTGTCAGCCTTTTTCGGCTTCTTACGTTGCGGGGAATTTACTGTTTCTAATTCTTTTTTCGATTCAAGACTGACTGTTTTGATTTTTTCAGTATGTTGCTCTCCATGGTGTTCGAAATATAGTCGTGAGGAGTAAATTCAAGTAAATTTAAACTCGGAGAAAATCAAAACACTGGACTAAAAAACTGAACTGTTCAAGATGGCTACAAACTAAAGACTGCGTCACACGAAGTCACATGATAAACACGCAAGATTCATGTCATAAACACTGTTTAATGCATACACAATAAACATGTATTTAGTAAATTTGTATTTTCAAAACTGTTGTCGAAATAAACTGTAAACAATTATTAGCAGACCATCGCACAGATAGGTTTTAATTGTTATCAGAAAAGTTACCAGGTAGGTAGGAATTTCAAACACTGCTTATAGTAGAGTAGGTAGATGTAAAATGTGTATCTTGTATTGATTCTTAAATAACGCTACATTGTATTGATAATTATATTCAGGTCCAAAGCAACAGAGAAAGTTTAAAAGGCTAATGTTACAGCGAATAAAATGGAATGATGATAAGAGAAGCAAAGATGACGGTACGTATTAGTGTCAACATGTCTTATTTTGACAACACACATCATTCTATTACTTCAGCATACTTTATTTTCTATTGGAATTAATTTTCGCTATTTTCGTTTAAGGAATAATTCAGTGAAAATAAAATCCAGCGAATATACATTTTTCCTATATTTTACATTCAACTAATCAAAAATCAGTGAAAATTAATTCCATCTAAAATAAATTATTTTACAGTATTCACTTTTACTGAAAGCATGCTCAATATTAGTTAATGGTCATCCACATCACGTACTGTTAAGATCACTGGTCTCTATGGTTACAGATTACAGAAATTTCAGAAAGTTTTGCTTGATGAATGATTCTTATTTATATGTGCTTTAACTCCTTGGCCATGATACTGTTTTCTGTACAGTGACCAGATCATTGTGCACATGCATGGTTAGGATGACAGGACACCCTTTATTAATGTTATACTTATTTTTCAGATGACGATGACGATTCTGATGACGAAAGGGAAAAGAAAGGAAATAAATGCTGCTTAGTGTGGGAAGGAATGAATAAAAACAGAGCATTTGGCGATATTAAATTCAAAGCTTGCCCTACAGAGAGAATTGCAAAAGAACAGTTCCGTAATCACGGTGTTGAACATTATTGGGATTTAGCAAACAGTGAGGCCATTATTGAAGCTTCGGAAGATTAGCCTCTCACCCCTACATAGTGAATGGAACAACCCTGAATATGAAATGAACTCTGGAACAAGCCTTACATCATCTTGAATATATCTGTGTATTCACTATGGACTTGTGTGAAGTGTTATATCTTTGAACCTGACATATGTGAGACAGCTAATTAGTGGTCGGACTGGTACCATCAATGGCCTGCCGCCTACTATATCCCATTGTCCAAGTTCCCAGTTTTTGGCAACGTCAACATCAGTCTGCATTCTGATGGAATTGATTTTTTTTTATTTCATGGATTTGGATCATTTTGAAAACCTTGTAATGACATTGGGTGTGGATAGATCACTTGCACTGGTACCAAAAAACATTATTTGTGCCCATTTGATCGCAGTCCAATAATAGGGACTTGCGGACTGATCAAATTATATCTTGGGATACATTCATTTCCAGATCAAATTCAAAATGGCTGGCTGGTTGCCATTTTGTTAAGATTGCTATTCTCGACTGATTGTGTAAATCATACAGCATGTTCCACAAATGTATTTGTTTGATGATCCAAATCTAAATAGCTGAATGGCGGCCATTTTAATGTTAAAAATTCATCAAACTCTAGCATTTCTGAAATTCCAGAACTAGGATCTTTGTCTGGCATGGACAAAACTTCGAACTGTGATGCACATCATTCTGTTTTTTAGATCAGATTCAAAATGGCCGACGGATTTCCATTTTGTTTTTAAATTAAGTTCTGAAGCCATACCTGTGACATGCCCTGACCGTTTATGTTAAAATATAACAACTCACGAAAACTATGTAATGCAAATACTTGTCACATACAAATGTAGACAGTTCCATGTAAACAACTTGGTCATCCAGAATAGTGGATGTAATGATGAATTTACCCGACTTGACCAATAGGTGTTGGCTATCATTAAAACACAAACGCTGTCATTGTCATTTCAAAACTAAAATGACAAACTTGTGTAATAACAAACAGTATGTACATTCATCATGGGCCATATTTTGCTGAACTTTTTTGCTCTCACCCCAACGTCACCGATTCTATGTAAGTTACTGGTAATCTTAAAGGGGAACCGCTCAATTCCATGGATTGCACCACGTGCTCATCGGTGATTAACTTCACCTCTGTCCACTAAGTAAATGAATGCTTATTATGCTCGCTTACACAAACTGTGATTGACAGGCATTTTGCATACATTAGCCGCCATTTTAAACTCAGGATTTGTACTTGTCACGGCACGTTTCGACCGAAAGCTACTACATGTATACATCAAAAGCCCAACCAGATGAGTGTAATCGCTAGCGTACATATTCATGCCTCCGTAGAAATGTATTTGGAATCACAGCTTGATCTCTAAACATCGTAAATAGCACATTTCCTGGAGCTCCCGCCATGATGTGAGCGGCTTGGTTTGGATTAGCATACTAATTTCGGTGGCCATCTTGCCCCTATTTATAGTATCGGTTCCCCTTTAAAAATATACCCTATATTTTTTGGTCCAGATATATGACTGCTTCATCAGTAAATGAGTGATTCATAGCAGTATTTTTTTTTTTTCACAAACTGCAATGAGAAGATTACAGTGTTACATCATGGATGCAGATTTATATACTTTCATTGTTTTAATAGCAGAGTTACACTTTCTCTAGTTGCTAGGCTACCATGTTTGTCTCGCACACAAAAACCTCTGGTCATCAACAAGAATATGTTGTTTGACGTCAAGATTTTTTGTGTTTCCCAGTTTTGTACCAAACATATTAGTTTTGCATTGTATAGGCATACAGGCCGCTTTTTGAATGTTCATAAAGTCAATGTCAAGGGTGTAATATCTTGCGTAAATTGTCAAGTCTTACAAAATTATTACGAATTACACAATCACAAGACAAGCCAAATTAGGGACAACATCAACAGTTCAATGTAGGGTAAAAAAACTTAATACCTTTAGTTGTTTGTTTTCATCTCTTTTTGGTATGGTCCATGCAAAGTGTGTAATTTTATGTTTAGAAATGCAGTAATATCTCTCATCACCTACTGCATTCTGGGACACCATTGGTTAAAAAACAAGTTTAATTGACGCACATGGAATTGGTATCACTTTCAAGCCATAAGAATTTGCATCTCCGTGGGATGTTCATTGCATATTACTGTTCATGGTTATGAAAGATGCATACCCTTGTTATTCCTTTACGAAAAATAACTTACTGATGAGCATGACGTGTGAATTCATAAATTCTTGGTATCTGCATTATCTCTGATCAAACTTAGCTTGACTGGTTAAAGGGTTCTGAAAATTCACCCATGACCCCTCCCCCTCTCTAAATCTGTGCATGCCTTGAAATGCAACAGAATGTAAAACTCAAAATATTGTCTGTAATAGTTTCTATGCATATTTTTGCACAATGTGTTTTGGTATTTCCCCAGTAATGTGTTCAATCCTACCATCAGGTACTTGTGATGTAATCTTCCATCTATTGGTACACTCTACTATGTACGAGTTAATACAGGTTATTGTAATAAAAAAAACAAAAAATTATTTTATGTCTGATCTTATTTATTTCAATTATAGAAGACAAGATGATCAGTTATTTAGTGAAATTATTTTTAAATAATACATTGGCACAAATACACATACAAAAGAGAAAATTTTTTTAACTCATAAATGCGATGAAGAACTTTGAAATCATACATAAACTGTACACAGCGACAGTATCTCTATATGATTTTACTTATATCGGTTAATCCCACCAGTCTGAACAATAGGATCTTGTTATTTATAAGTCTTTGGCGAGTCGCTTTATGCTTCTTTATTGAGAGTCAATAGTACCCTGATATATCACTGTAATTGTAATATCAAGACAATGAAATGACTATTCTTTTTTATTGTTACTTGATGTGCATACTGGGTTCTCAAAGAATCTGTAGCATTCACACAATTTAGTTTTCTATATTTCATAGATAGATATAAAACAGTAATTAGAACTCTTGGATCACTTTAGCGAGCGAGTTGTGAGTTGCTGTGTCACATTGGTGGCCGGTTCACTCGTTTATAAATAAATAAATGGATCATCAACAACTACTCGGGGGGTGGGGTAATTATTTTGGGGGATAATTAACATTCCTTATTGGTAATAGCACTTCCTAAGAAGTTAATAGTGTAAATGCATTCACTATTCGCTTGGATTTGATTTCGCTATTTTCGCTCTAATATGTGAAATCTGCTAAATTAAATCTAAATTAACATGTAAAATAATAATAATACAAATTTAAGAAGTTGAAAACCTGCTGAATATGATCAGAATATTAAAATAGTGAAAATAAATGGTTTACATTACAATGTACATGTTAAAGTGAAGTGTTCAGTAAATCTTTTAACACTATGGCAAATTTGCATACGAGAAAAGTGTTACTGCAAAAGGGTTAATTATTCACTGGGTTTTAATTTTGCTTATTTCGCTGACTGGAAAATGTGCTAAATTAAAACCCAGTCAAATGGAGCATAGAACACATTATCTAAATGATAAAACCGTGAATTTAAAAACCCACTGAATATACCTTAAATGGTAAATCAGCGAAATTTAAACCCAGCGAAAATCAGTCATTTTACAGTATCATATGTTTGTGCTGCCTGGCAATGCCTGGTAATAACAGTGCCATGGTTTCTTTGAATTCATTGCACACTATTATTAAGATATTGTACAAACATATTAGCAATAAGTCGTGTGTTATTGACAGGATGTGTCTTGGTATAACTAATAAATTGTCTTCTGTGTCTTCTTAGTTCAGATACGTTGTAATTGTGAATTAAATTAATGTGAGTATTGGTTAAGGAAATATATTATATACACTTAGACTAGAAACTATACTCTAAGCTCCCCATGAAATGAAACAGTGAAATGATACACACCCATGCACTGTACATTACAATAGTAAAAGGATATTTTATCTTTTGCATCAGGTATACTAATTTGATCACCTGGTACACTGGTTTTCTGAGCTTCTAATAAAACCTAATAAAACACAAACATAAAATACCCATCATTCTTTGTTGCTAAGTATAAAGTTTGAGAATGCTTCGAGAACCGATAAATATATTGTAAAGCATTTAATTTTTTGCTGTAGTCAATTTTCGTGACATCCAGGTTTTATAGCATTTGTAAGATGAAATTTCGCAAAAATTCTCACTATACTATACTACCATAAAATCTGTATTTGAAGCCACATCTCCAATATAAGTCTCAAGCATTCTTTTTGAATAATTGAGAACCAAACATTCACCATTTCTCATATGTGTAGATGCTCTAATAGAAGCTGCATCCCCTCTGTTGCATTGTACCATTTTAATAGAAGCCGTGGTTTCTAATACACATTTTACAGTACAACCAATTTTTGCAATTTTCACTGAAATTTGCAAAATTTAAAGTGGTTTTAAAGTAATATCTTAAAAATGGTGGTCTTCAGTATTTATAGAATATACCGGTAACCAGATGTTTTGAGCAATGGCTCTTTATGGGATGTATGATTACACTATTCACTATGGAGGGTCATTGCTCAAAAATGTCTCATTATATTGAATAAATAGAAAGGATCACACACGACCGGTACAGTCAAATCTGTGTTAGTGACCACTTCCATATCAAGGTCACCTGTCTATAAAGACTATATTGATGAAGTCCCTTGGATGGTCACTATACACAGGTTTGACTGTACCACTGTCTTATATATCTTTCATATAAAAAAACAGTAAACAAGCATCATGACTGAAACATTAAACTATGGCAACTGTGAGTTCAAAGGTCAGAGTTTAACTGGTGCATTCTATCATGGCTGTTTACTAGTATATTCAAACCTGTCTATAGTGACCACTTTTAGGCAGTCTTAAAGCATAACATATGTCCAACCTGTGTATAAAGACCATGAGTTTCCTTGAGTGGTCACTATACACAGGTTTGACTGTACACGTATATTACAGTGCGACTATAAATCTGTAAATAAATCTACCGATACTTACAGTGATCACATCTTGAGTTATTTTATCCAATTCATATAGGAAATTTGTGGATGATAAGGGTTGCTGCAAAACAAACCAAATTGTGATATTTAACATGTTGATTGGTAACTATCTCATGTGACTTGTTTATAGTTTATAGTAAAAAAAAAAAATCGAATGATGCTTTACTTTTACTATTAAGTTTATACTTTAGTGGTTTTATATAATACATAAAATAAAAAAAAAGAATTATTTTCTACTAGAATGGCCATATAATGCTTACACATTACTGGATTGATGGATTACGTAAATGTTGATTCTAATGTAATTCTTGCTGGCGGGGTTATACAAGTCCGTCTGCACTGTACCTATGTTTCTGTTTCTGTTACTAACGTTGTAATAAAAGTGTTCTGAGTTAGAATACAACACAGCTATAAACAATATATGCTGCCTATTACTATTCATCGTCATTGACCTTTGATCACCTAATCCTGTACAAACTAAGCATTCTTTTTTCACCAGCCTTACATATCCATAGTATTCTATTGAACCCACAATGAATGCACTTGACAATATGGAAAATTACTAAAGGACTCATTCAAAGATAGTCTTTTTTCACTACACACATACCGACTGTGTTGAGAAGTTTGGCGGTGGCGCTTTCCTGTCGAATATTGCATCACATATCGCCTCGCATGGTACATCACTGTCTGGAAGAATTGTAAATAATGGCGAATCCCAGCGATTCCTGGAATCTGGTGCTTCAAACCGCATCACTAATGCGTCAAAGCTAAATAAAGATAACACCAATATTCTCATTTAATAGGGCGATGGTTGTCGCACCATGTCCTGTTTGATATGGGAATGATAGCAACGGATACAACGCGTGTAAAATACATTGTTTATTTACATGAAATTCAAACACGCGCAGTGCGACGACCACCGCCCTTTAAAATTACTCATCAATGCAGCTTATCGTTAATTTAGAAAATAACAAATGAAAACCATTTGACCAATCATAGCAAAGATTTTGATGAAACAAACTTGGTATAATCCAATAGCGAATCACAACTTCTCGTTTGAATTTGAATCTACATTATGAATATTCACACAAATTTACAGTATTTGTGGGTAATTCATTCATAATGAGAGTAATCTGTGATGCACAAAAAATGTAACTCATTGATTTAACTTTTATTTTGTGTTTTAAAAGAAAACAATTCTTACATTTCTTGAGAATATTGTTCTGTTTTCTCTCGTTCCTTGTTCCATGCAGAAGCTGTATCCACAGCTAGCTCACAGTGAATCTGAATATAAATATTAATATTTAATAACAAGTTACTTTCATGTCAATAGACAGTATAGTGTGGATTAACCAACATCACCATTAGTATGTGGGACTTGTAGGGGTTCACCAATATCAGAGGGGGGGGGGTGATTTTGAAAAAAAAAATCAGCAGAGAAAAAAAAAAATAGGAAATACAAAATTCACCAGTATTATCAGTTGGCTCTTGCTCAAAACTGAGTGAAAATGGAAAAATAATTTTCACATAACTTTTACCCCCCTGAATTTCAAATGGTCAACCCCTTACAATTTGCAAATGTAGTTCTGACAAGTAATACCTGTTCATACTATGAGGTTATTACGAGGTTACCTTGAAGTATGCATGAAGACAGTACAACGGAAATATCTACCGACGCGCAGCGGAGGTCGAAGCAACAGCGTACTGTCTGAGTGCATACTTTGAGGTATCCTCATAATAACCTTATTAATATACATCTTTTACTTCCAAGGATACATCATGGGAATGCTGAAATCCAAAAATTTTAGAACAGAATCAGCAAACTTCTTAGTGTGGCAGCCATGTTTGTTTTCATTATTAGAGGACGTTTACGCACATAATCATTCCATATTTGGAATTCGTATTTCCTTATATGGTAGGATGAAAATACACTGTAAAATACTGCAAAATTACGGCACGCTGTAACTTATGGCGTTACGGTGACAGATGTATAATAATATCCTTTTTTTGAAGTTCTGGTATTCAGTACATGTAAGATTAAATATTATAATAAATATTTCACTAACCACACAGTGTGTTGTCTTTGCTGACTTGGAAACACAGTAAAATTCATAACGGCAACCTGTTAGCAATATACAAGTGACATATTAAAAATATTTCTGTTCTTTTCTAGCTTTTTTTTTTGATAAACCAGTGCTTGTATAGGGATGACTACAGAAGTGCAGTTTCACACAAAGTTGTTTCAGAAAATACAGAACTGTAGGTAAAAGAAAAGTTACAAAAAAACAAAATTTCAATCGATTCCAAATCGAGTGTAAAGCATGTAAAAAGGAAGATAAAAAAAGAATTTATTTATAAAGTAAAAAAAGAAAAAGCAAGCGCCCAACGTGGGGCTCGAACCCACGACCCTGGGATTAAGAGTCCCATGCTCTACCGACTGAGCTAGCCGGGCTACACGATTCAGGAATTCAATCGATCCGTTATCAGGTTTATGCACTTACCTTTAATGTAGTTCAAAGAATCTAGAATAACAACGTCGTCTTTGTTGATTTTTCTATAACAATTAAAAAATAGTAATTATGTTTCGTTAAAGTTAATTTCAGATTATGATAATTAAAACTATCGCGTCCGTGAAACCGGAAGTATAACTCCCACAGTTTGGGCAGTGAGACGGATGGGTTATAGCAGTCTCACCTCTCAACATTTGCCTTCAGAGTTCCCCTGATGTCTTTCTCCCTCCTTGAATCTAAGGTTGGAATTTAGAAGGATATGTGTTATTATATGTATGGGAATCAAACTCATTTCTAAACGTGAATGGCCGACAATGTCATTGACTCATGATTTACCGAGTGACCGGAGTTTACATCTTTTACCTGCGTAAACGTAATTTCTGTCGACTCCAATTGAATGATCACTGACTATGTGAACATCCTTTGCCTTGTTGACCTCTATGTATTTCTTTAGTTCTTCTGCTCGCTTCGTTTTGCCGCTACAAGGTAAACCACACATCAAAACCAAAGGCATGATGTTTCAACTTCGAGAACGCATATACTGCCGTTGAGGGCGTACTTCGAATTCCGTCACTAAACAATTCAATGTTGAAAAGATTTTTGAAAAAAAAACAGAATAAGGGAATATCTATTCTTTTCTTACGTATATTGTTCATTGTCATTCTACAAACACTATTTATTGTAAGATTTCCACTGATAAGTTTTTTTTTTTTAATTCTTGATCTATTCCGACGTTGTCTCCCAACGAAACAATCCCAATTTCCAAAGCACTTTATGTACCTGTACACAAAGTAAGTTTTTGACGATTGAAAAAAAAAACTGTGCGAAAACCTCCCTTGCAAACGTATTTTCTTTTTTTGCAAATTGCTTGTTCTACTTTTCAGACAAACGTCCTGGTTTCCAATAGAACACATTTGCCTCCTTTGCAGACGAATTCCGGGTAATGAAATTACTTTTGTCCTCTCCTCAACTTTGAAAACAAACGTCTTGACTTTCAACTTAACAAAACATTTACTGTCTTTGAAGACGACTTTCCCGTCTTCACAATTTACTTTTCAGAGTAGAAACTTTTATATATCTTTTCTGACTAAAAGTCTTCCAATAATACCTGTCTCCACATATAACTATTCCGTCTTCTCAAATCAAATGTTATTTTTCGGTACAACATTCTGTCTTTTTTAGGGGTTGACCATTGGAAAACAACCCTGGGGAGGGGGTAGAACTACTGTTCACTTTTACTCACGGTGATGTTATTGTATCTTTTTATTTTTGCTTTTATCTTTCAAGCATGTATGAAATTTTATTTTGTTTCTGTAAATTTCACTGTAGAAATACTTTTCTTCAAGGTTTTACTGATTTTGAAAACCATGTTCCAGACTAATTTTCAGATGCCCTAAATGAACTTTTCGTCCTTTAAAACTATTCATTCTTTAAAACTAAAACATTCTGGAGAAATATACAAGCCTTTTTTGCTTTTGCAGTCTACTTGTCAGAATTTACAATGTTTTGTCAGGCGACTTTTTTTCACACAGAACAGATCTGGGTAATGGTATACAAGACATTTTCACACATTTTATTATGATTCAAGAAAAAATTACATGCATTTCACATTTAACATTTTCCTACCAGAATAAGCAAAGCCTTTGTCTCAAAGAATATATCGTCTATTAAGACTTCTGGTCACCTATCAAATTTGCCACGTCTGAAAACAACTACCGGGGTATCCCATTTTTGCAACTACTACATCTCACTCTTCCACAACAAATTTCTCACCTTAAGTAAACCATTAGTCTTCTTGATATTTCAGACTTCTCAATAAAACAGAATTTTTACTTCTTCCGAGTTAACTTTTCCACCTTTTGAATGACGTTCTTCGAAAACTACTTCTCAGTCTTTCTGACAACTTACTTATGTACATACATATACAGTATCTATAAACCCCCAATTATTATTACCATGTTTATGGAGACCATATAAATACTAATATACTTTTGTAATTAAATTCATTATTGCAACACTAATTTTTATATATTTTATGTTGGGGTAGTATGTTACCCACAGGTTTTTTTTACATATGTGCATATTCGACAGCATATAGCAGTGACAATACATTGTGTCAAAATCCGTCTATAATAATTCATTTTAGTAATAGTCAACAGTGTGATTTTTTCAGTTAACTGTTTTTTGAGAAAAAAAAAACACAGTAAAATATGCGTAAAATCCTATTTTAACAGTAGATTTTAAAGACCACAATTTTTCAATACGTTTAAACATCAAAAAGTACTTTTAAGATATTTTTTTCACCCTATGTCACGAGAAAATGCAATAAATCAGCCAAACATGTTATTTTCATCGTATTTTATTGATCGATTTTCTCTGAACAGAGTATGGTAACCACGTATTTTTATTTCATTTTCTTAATCCTTGCAGGTTTTTTGTGATATGTTTTTAAATAGTGACTATGAAGAGTGATTCATGATCTATAAATTACTAGTACTTCTAGACTTTGGAGGCAAAAGTGACAATTGGTTGTTGACAAATCAAAATGTAATTTGCAACCAAGTAGCAGAAGCAACCACCACCTCTTATTCATTCATTCATTCATCCATCCATCTATCTATTCATCCATTCAATGCGCAAATAAAGTTTACACAATTTATCTATTATAAATATGTATTTAATACATGATAATTGTTGGTTACAAAATCCAAACAATCCATTGATTGACATAGATTAAAGAGCATTCAATTATTAGAGAACTATTTGATTGCCATAACAAAAATTCACAGCGATTGGGATGACTGAAAACAAATGACTTTTGGGTTTACTGGTAACTATGTCTATGTGATGTGACAATTTCTGTCTTGATTTTGTAGTCTTTTCTTTTCATAAATTGAAATGTACAAAAAATAAAATGCCACACTTGAGTTGAATCATTTATAAAATGATTTGATTTGTGAAAAACACCCAACAGCAAACATGCTGCTTTCTGATTGGTTTGAATTTACCCTTTGACCCCAACAGTTCTATTTATAGTCTGTACTTTTCCACACGAAATTTTGAAAAAATTTCAAATTTTTTTATCAAAGACAGGAAGCAATGTCACATTTTCTCTGCTTGGTTCAAAATTAAAATTAAATCAGGTGAAAATACAGGAAATATGAATAAATTTAACATAATTTGAGCGGGAACAAGGGGTTAAAGAAAAGGTTTTCAGGAAGCAAGATGATTTTTGCAAATATAAATCAGCATATTTTATACCAAAACCTATGTTACTGGAAAAATTTGATTTCTTGACACTGCCCTCTAGTGGTCGGATCAATCAATCATCAATGGGGAATTTATAAAAGTTATCGATGACAGATTTGGTGTACTCCATCTTGTCTTGCTTTGTTTCCAATACTGCCCATTCTCTTAGAGGTATCTGAAACGAATAACAAACACACAATTTTTTATTTTATCCAATAGAAGAACATATGCAAATCATTAAAATCTTAATCAGTTTACATACTAGCAACACTTTATTTTAGTAACTAGACGATGGCTGCCAAGATCTCACTCCATGAGACTAGTTTCTGACCCACAAATAATGGTCCACTCTCTGTTACGATCACATTCAATGCTCCAATTATTATGGTATTTGGAACACCAGATGTGATGACAGGGAGAAAGGAACATTATTCAATGAATAATCAAAAACTAGTTTTACAGTTTTCTTGCTCTCAGCCAAGATATCAGCAGGTGTTTGCATCTAAGGTCTATTTGCATACATTGGAGGCACTCAGGAATCAAAAACCAAAATTGTTATTATAAATATACCTACCCATCGTACATGGTATCCTATTATATTTAGTTGTCTCTCCATAGCAACAGCATTTCCTAGCAACCAAAACTCAGCATCTTCTAGTAGATTTTTCGCATAGTAGGAATCTGGAGCCAGTAATAAAGCTAACCTAAAGACAGAACAGAATCTCCATATTAAATATACCCAGTATACATTTTTACTGAATTCTTGTAGTTTACTATCAAAATCAGCCTACTCCCTAGCACAGGAACATACATACCATACATCCTAGCAGAGTGACATAAATACTATACACCCTAGCACAGTGACATACATACCACACTCCCTAGCACAGTGACATACAGACTACACTCCCTAGCACAGTGACATACATACCACACTCCCTAGCACAGTGACATACAGGCCACACTCCCTAGCACAGTGACATACATACCACACTCCCTAGCACAGTGACATACATACCACACTCCCTAGCACAGTGACATACAGGCCACACTCCCTAGCACAGTGACATACATACCACACTCCCTAGCACAGTGACATACAGGCCACACTCCCTAGCAGAGTGACATACATACCACACTCCCTAGCACAGAGACATACATACCACACTCCCTAGCACAGAGACATACATACCACACTCCCTAGCACAGAGACATACATACCACACTCCCTAGCACAGTGACATACATACCACACTCCCTAGCACAGTGACATACATACCACACATCATTCCCCCCAGTAATGGCTATTTCAAATAAATGAAATATGTTGAAATGCATACACAATTTCACTCCATTTGTGTTAGTAGATCAGTATTAATTGCATAAACACAAAAGGCTCTATTCAGAGCATTTTCATGCATGCTAACTTTCAGACAAGCTGTGTTAAAATTTGCAGAGCACAATTCTGGCCAGTAACACAATGGCTTAATTAATGCAAGAAATTACCAGCTGTAAGGCAGACACTGATTGGTTAATCATGCTGTCATTCTCTTTGGTGGTGTAAAAATCAACTTAGAACAAGAGTTGTTTGTTAAATGTAGAAAATAATTTTAATTTAGTTACTGTACAATACTTTATTTTCGCTTGGAATTAATTTTCGCTATTTTCACTGAAGGAATGATTCAGTTAAAATAAAATCCAGCGAATATTCATTTTTTCTTATGGTTTATATTCAACTTGTCAAAAATCAGTGAAAATAAATTCCATACAAAACACCCAAAAAGTCTTTTCAGCGAAAATTAATTCCAGCTAAAATAAAGTATTTTACAGTACAAGTATTTTACAGTACAAGTATTTTATATCGTACGAGTTTATGCATACCTTTTGTTATTTCTTACTGAATCTTTCAAATCAACTTTACAATCTGAAAATAAAGAGGTCAAATAAAAGATTAGACACAACGCTAGTGAGTAATGTGAATGAAGGACTGAAGCACATTACGAAAATAACATGTGATCATCACTAAATCCGTGTGTCATAAATGCAGTGTCATAGAAATGTTGACAACATGTACATGTAATTAGTAATAAACAATGGTTGCCATGGAAACCATTCAAAATATATATGCATGATGAAGAGTGTTCACCCAAACCATTGTGTTATTTTTTGTATTCCTACAGTTCGTCTTTTTTGTTTAGTTACTTTCTCTATGTTATATTTTAATGCATGTGTCTCGATTTTGAGGAAAGACTATGTTAAAAAAAAATTTCATATCTTTCTAGATTGGCAAAGTCAAGACGTCTTTTTTGTTTTACAAAACAAAATAATTAATTGTTTAAGTCCTTTTAGCGTGATCACAAAACTAACGTGACAGGGAAAGAAATCCCGACTGGATTTATCTGCGGGCATTTAATTATTCATTGCTCACATTGCGGACTAGTCACGGAATGTTTTGCTGCTAGTCGTATCTCGTAGTTTAGAACTGAAAATATAGCTGACATGGGGTAAACTGTTGTAATGTAACGTAGTGTAGGTTAGAATTATGGTGGTAGTGGTGCTAGGGTTTGGTTATTTCATGCTAAAAAATGACAACGTAAATGTGATTCAAACATCAGAGCTGCATTCGTTGTCAGTGCTAGCCAACAACATTTAATTAGCATAATCAGCGGAGTGATTCCGCTTCGGTTTTCACTCCAACACAGTGGGTCGCCTGCAGATGCGTCCAGTCGGGATTTCTTTTGCAGTCACGCTTAAAAGGCTAATTGTCAATTAAATATTGTGACTTTGCCAGTCTAATATCTTTCATGCAACTTTACCAGAACATGGTATTCAATGACTAAAAGTAGATAATCCAGTACCTTAATCTCAGTATGTGACTTACATATGATGAAGCCTAGATAATCCAGTACTTAATCTCAGTATGTGACTTACATATGATTAAGCCTGGATAATTCAATACTTAATCTCTGTATGTGACTTACATATGATTAAGCCTGGATAATCCAATACCTTAATCTTAGTATGTGCCTTACATATGATTAAGCCTGGATAATCCAATACCTTAATCTCAGTATGTGACTTACCTATGATTAAGCCTGGATAATCCAATACCTTAATCTCAGTATGTGACTTACCTATGATTAAGCCAGGATAATCCAATACCCTAATTTCAGTATGTGACTTACCTATGATTAAGCCTGGTTAATCCAATACCTTAATCTCAGTAAGTGACTTACCTATGATTAAGCCAGGATAATCAAATACCTTAATCTCAGTATGTGACTTGCATATGATTGAGCCTAGATAATCCAATACATCGATCTCAGTATGTGACTTACATATGATTAAGCCAGTTAGCCTGGATAATCCAGTACCTTAATCTCAGTATGTGACTTACCTATGATTAAGCCTGGATAATCCAGTACCTTAATCTCAGTATGTGACTTACATATGATTAAGCCAGGATAATCAAATACCTTAATCTCAGTATGTGACTTACATATGATTAAGCCTGGATAATCCAATACCTTAATCTCAGTATGTGACTTACCTATGATTAAGCCAGGATAATCCAATACCCTAATTTCAGTATGTGACTTACCTATGATTAAGCCTGGTTAATCCAATACCTTAATCTCAGTAAGTGACTTACCTATGATTAAGCCAGGATAATCCAATACCTTAATCTCTGTATGTGACATACATATGATTAAGCCTGGATAATCCAATACCTTAATCTCAGTATGTGACTTACCTATGATTAAGCCTGGATAATCAAATACCTTAATTTCAGTATGTGACTTACATATGATTAAGCCTGGATAATCTCAGTATGTGACTTGCATATGATTAAGCCTGGATAATCCAATACATTGATCTCAGTATGTGACTTACATATGATTAAGCCTGTTAGCCTGGATAATCCAGTACCTTAATCTCAGTATGTGACTTACATATGATTAAGCCTGGATAATCCAGTACCTTAATCTCAGTATGTGACTTACATATGATTAAGCCTAGATAATCCAATACATTAATCTCAGTATGTGACTTACATAGATTAAGCCAGGATAATCCAATACCTTAATCTCAGTATGTGACTTACATATGATTAAGCCTGGATAATCTAGAACCTTAATCTCAGTAAGTGACTTACATATGATTAAGCCTGGATAATCCAGTACCTTAATCTCAGTATGTGACATACATATGATTAAACCTAGATAATCCAATATATTAATCTCAGTATGTGACTTACATATGATTAAGCCTGGATAATCCAATACCTTAGTTTCAGTATGTGACTTGCATATGATTAAGCCTAGATAATCTTATATGTTAATCTCAATATATAACTTGCCTATGATTAAGCCTGAATAATCCAGCACTATAAACTCAGTATTTGACTTACATATGATTAAGCCTAGATAATCCTATAGTTTTCATCTCAATAAACCCCTTACCTATGATTAATCCTGGATAGTCCAGTATGTTAATCTCAGTATGTAACTTATCCCCATATAATAATCTGATGATCGCTTGCAATGACAGTTGTAAAACCTTTCTGGTATCTACTATACCATCAGTGGACTTCCTGTTTTGCATGACGCATGTTTCAAGCGAGAGATGAGATAAATCATCGTAAGTATTCATTTCTAATGATCGATAGATATTCAAGTATGCGTTCCTCCGTCTGTTAAATCTTGCATTATCTGCAAGCAAAATCAAGCATAAATTTTTCAGACAAAATCATGAAAAGATTCAGACCAAAACAACAATTTAGGCACTATGACAGTATCTGGTTGAATCACTGCATACTCTTAGGCTGAGAAAAAAAATATCTCTGTTTCTTGTTTGCGCGCGCCATGTTTTGAACTATGCGCCTCGGACGTTTTATTCCTTCTAAAGCATTCTAAAATGCGCTTGTACTTGCACTTATCTCAAATTTCCCCCATTTTAGCTCAGTATTCAAAACGCCTCGCCGTTTTCATGAAACGAGAAACAGGAAAAATTTTTTTCCTGGTCTTAGATGGCGTTGTCAGTGAGGGTGTTATTTAGATTCGATCGTTGACTGCCCACTCAAAACACTGCCATGGATACTGTGATAGCAATATGAGTTGTATGCATTAGACACGTACAATACACTGAATGCGCAGACATGTACATGAACCAGCAATATCTCAACCTTGATTTCCCTTACACAATATTTTAATTAAACTGCACCAAATTCAAAGTGTAATTGAGATAATCATGGATAAATCAAAGTTCTAGCAGTTATTAGTTCGTTTTTGGTTCATCTGTTTGATTTCAAACAATACGCCTCAGTACACCTTATTTTGATATAGCTGGATCTATGTGTTGAGTGGGGCAGCCAACGACCAAATATAAATAGCGCCCACTCTGACAATGCCGTGGCACCCAGGGCCACACCCTACATTAAAAAATCACAAACAAGTCACAGTTATTGTTATTGTATGCGCATGGTGTCCTTATTTAATCTAAATCATGTACTGAACAGTGTTTTGGGATTACGTCAGTTTTATTTTTAGTAATATCTCATAACCGTGACAAACACTATTGAAAAAATCTTACCTTTAATATCCATCAAAAAACGTTGACATTTAGGATCGAATATAAACTGCAGCAATTCCCGACTTGGCGTCTTATTAAGCATTGTGAGGTAGTTGATGACATCTAACACATGACCATATTGAGTATTGTTAGCATTTAACAAAAGATCCTCAGTTTTATCCTCCACCAATTTACATAGATAACGTTCTTCATCGCTGGACTCAAACTCCTCTTTAGCATGTTCTGATAAAGGACTCTTGAACTCGGTAAATTGACGAAAGTTCAGTTCTGCAAATGGTGCGAGTAAGAATGCACACATCGATAGACTGTCTATGCTTCCAGTAGCGTCTAAAGGACTGATGTCTGACAAGTTATAAATATGATCTGCGACTTGTCGTAGAAGTGGTTTATGGACATATCCAAACACTGCATACACATGCAATACCCTCGCAAGGCAGTTAATTGTCAAGTCCTCCATGTGGGTTTGCAGAAAACGTGCACTCCACTCAAATAATTGGTCATTGTAATACTTCAACCTCTCACATGCCACAAGAACCGATTCCAAAAGCTCAGCTGTTACATCATCGGAATTCATAATCAACTGACTTGCCTTTTCCAATAATACGTCAGATCTGTGTCTCACGTAACCATACTGACGAAAGAGATTCACAACATGTTTTAACTTGACATCTTTCCTAATAGTCATAATAGCGACAATACGGTTATCAAATTCCCGTTTTTCTGACGGTGATAATACGTTATACATGGGTTCAATTAATGATGCTAGAAGACGTATAGAAAGAGTTCGGTTTAATGTCTGCTTGCATAAAATCTGTGTAGCTAGGATCATAGCATCTACTTGTTCTGTCTTGGGCATTTTACCAAGAGTTACACGCAGTCGTGTCAGTGATTCAAGATCCATATCGTTCATCCGAGCCTCGCACTGTCTTAGTAATGTCTGCATTACAGGCGTGTTCAGCGGTACTTCACATTTTGAGAAATTATATAAACACAAAGTAACATTGATATTAGTCATGTATCGTGCATGCATCATAACAAGATCACAAACTGGACCCAAATTCATCAGCCATAAATTAAACTGGTCATCCTGTCTCACAACTTCTACAATCTCCGCCATCCGTCTCACTGCACTGACAACGGCTTCTTCGTCAAACTTATTCCCATTGATGTGCACAAAATCAACAAGACTTTCTAAACTATCCATTTGATTTATCTGCCAGATTACACCATTCTGAGCAGAGACAGTGTTACTAAGACTGCTACAAAATAACCTTGCTTGGCTCAGCAGACTTAGTCGAGCTTGTATGGGTTGGATGTACAAACCAATTCTAGTTTCAACAGATCGAACACAGTGGCCAAATCTAGACGGTATTCGTGAGAACATACTCTGCACAGGATATAATGGAAGGAGGGTTTTCTTTGACCACGATGAAAGTGGCTGATGGGCGGACTTTAATATTACAGAAGACCTCAACCATTTTTGGGAAGCCATTTTGATCCAGAGAACACCTGAGTAAAAAAAAATATATTACGAGTTCAAGAGAAGACGTACTAATAAGACAAGTTGGTGAATACTTATACAAAATATTTGAAATCAGAAATAACAATAACTGACATTTTACTTTTACTTTAGTTTTATATGTATTGTACTTTATTACCAATGGAAATAATTTCTAAGGATGCAATAAATTCATTATTATTATTATTAATATTATTGACATTGTACTGAGAAATTATTATAAATATTCATGTCAGTGGTTTAGGAATTTTTTAAACAAAGGACAGCTCTACAGCAAATTTCATAAAAGCATAAAATTTGTTTAAATTAATTAAAAACAACTTTACCAATAACAACACGTTAATAGATGCATGGTAGTAAATCGGCCAATGACTGATAGAAACCTACAAAGACTCATGGGTAATGTGGGTTTACCAAATGGTTTCTATGAATACTTCTTTGAAAGTGTGAGGTTCTTCCAGGATAAATGTTTTACAAATTTATATTTTATACATTTCCATAAAAAAAAACATTTATTGTTTTCATAAAATTCACTGGAACTATTAATAACACATAATATTTTTTTTATTAAATATAAAAATTAAAATTAAAAGTGTTTAAAAGCTTCAGGTCTTTGGTTAACTGTCATCCATAATAAATTACATCCTCGTAAAGCCATGCATGCTTCTGATTGGAACATCTGTAAATATGCGTTGAATCATAGTTGGCGTATTATTAACACATTCAAGTTCAATTTTATATTAATTTAATTGAAAAGCATCTACCAGATACTTTTTTTTCAAATTCCTTTTCGTTGAAAAAATAACAAAATTAATAGAATAGAATAGAATAGAATAGAAAAGAAAATAGAATAGAATAGAATAGAATAGAATAGAATAGAATAGAATAGAATAGAATAGAATAGAATAGAATAGAATAGAATAGAATAGAATAGAATAGAAATCTGCAGGGTTATCCCCACTACATGTAATTTGCGGATCCCACTCTTCTAGTTTTGTGGCGGAATATACGGCCCATCGATGACCAAAAGCGCTTCCGGTGACGACACAACGCCCTTACCTATATTCTACCTATGATGTTTGTGGCCCTCCAATTACACAACATAGCATGTGCAGCGGGAGTTGCACTTCCACAATCAGCTGATTCGAGTACGTGTCGTAAAAAGGTACGTCACAATCAGTGTCTGCACACAATCAACGCAAATATTGAAGTGTGAATATATGTTCAAATATTCAATATTGTTGTATAATAACAGTTTGTTTTTGTCTTATTTTTAAAGAGGCAAGTAATGTATCTATCTATTAGACCAAACATACAATAAGTATTTAAAATGTGTTTGTCGCGTATTTTGCGACAATTACCTCTTTCGCTTAATGGAAAATAACATTCCATTCTAATGGCACATCAGTTTGAAATTTACCTTAATTATAGCAAACTTACCTATATACTTTTAAGATATTTATTTATAGATGAAACTATAATGACTTTGAAAAATTATATTATATTTATTTACTAAATAAATACTAAATTTTGGAACGAGGCTAGATCCTTCTGTGCGTAAAAAGGATTTCCCGTGGCACTTACTTGTTGTTGATCGTGAGCGACTTCGTATTTAAATGTCGACATAAATACTTATCTTTGGAAGGAATTTGTTGTTGATCTTGCTTCCAAGTGAACAAACCAACATTTGAAAACCAAAATGCCACCAAAACAGCGCAAGATCGCTTTAATGGGCTTCAGATCTGTCGGTAAGTGTTCGTTCTTGTGAGACGTCGAATGAAGTTAGCTTGCTTATAATATTATCCATAGTCGCTTTGTTTTGTTTTGCCCTTCTTAGTGTTTTGGGTTTATGACCACACATATATAATTCCGAGTTCGCTGTGGTTAGTGAAAATACATCACCAGTGTAACATTTTAATCTCGGTTTTTGTGTTTATAATGGTTGCAAGAGTTTTTAAAATGAATGGACCAGAGAGGACAATATACAGGTGTTTTGATTCGGATGGTATCCTGCGCTGTGACGCAGTTTGTTGAGAAGTTTGTAGAAGTTATTTTGTATACGTTGTTTGTTGACACCACGGTTCAGAGATAACGACTATAGTTTGGATATATGATAGCGGCCATCGTAGGTGATTTTTCATTGATAATCTGTGATTCATTATTTTAGTGTTGTTCTGTTATGATTAAATGTGACCTTGTACTATCTCTGGTCTGTTTACAATCATTGTATGCTTCCCTTTATGTTTATTGCGCCAGGGAAAACGAATACACTCACTCATTGCTGATAGTTCATCGCATCGCTTTTCTCTACTATATATTACTGTTCATTTATTTTGTTTTGACCAAGTTTATTTTGAAAAATGGCACAGGGAAAAAATTGGAAAAAGAGTGTTCCAATGACAGGCGAAACCTGCAAGTTTCTGAATAGCAGAAACCGTATTTTTTACTACGAAACACATCCCCTCTACGAAACAAAGTCGGACGAGTCGACAACAGACAAGTCGAGTGAAAACCAAAATGACATTTGCTCCACCACACTGGAGACTGAAGACACCACCGTAACTACCTCGAATGCTGACAATGAGGACACCACTATACTGTCATTGGAGGCTGACGACACAACATCAACATACAGAATGAGCATGATGTCGAAACGAAAAATATCGCCAGCGAAGTTAGCAGTAGCAAATAACACGAAGCTCGTCGATCTGGATATATTGATTTTGAATCTGGCTGACCACTGTAAATGTTCTCATTGTAAAAAATAAATATCCATGAAGAATCTTGTTATGGCTGGGAATCTCACTTTAGTCTCCGGTGCACATGCGGCCTTTTGAACATAGCACATGCACATGGATTGGCTAAGAATACGAGGTAGTCAAAAATAAACTAATCAGGTCCATTAAGTCATGTGGTACGGCAGACTGACTTTCAAATTTCAGTGATTCGTAGACAAAGCAGTTACACGTTCATTCTTAGCTCTTGGAAATGAAAACTGTTTTATGCTGGTAATAATTTTATAACAATCGTACTGCAAGTCGACAAAACTAAACTAAACGAAAACTCCGATTGTAACGAGTTATAGAGCAAAAACGATGACCTGTAGTTCACGACAGTACTGTCGGCAAGCTTGACTGACTTGCTTTCAAGCGGATTCAGTCAGCAAATAGTAGGCCCTTTTTTACTTCAATTACGATTTTTAATTGATATTCAGCAACAAAAGTGTCATCGCCGATATTTAGTAAAAAATAAAAAGCGTAGCTTTACCGAGTACTCTCATCTCATAATGTAGTTCTGCTCTGATAACATTTTCGCTTGGTTCAGGTGCCGTGGCTTACGAGAAAGTTGCGAGAAAGGGCCATACTTCGTTTTCACGTTGCTTTTTTCAAATTATTGATTTTTTCATAACTTTATCAGGCATGTATCAAACGAGTTGTTTTGATTTTTATAAAACCAACACAATAGCTATCTTAAATATCAAAAAATAACTAAAAAAGATGCGCTGAACAGAAAATATCCTCTCAACTGTGCTACTTTTGGTTTTTGAGTCTTATCAGCCATTTGAAACGTAACGTGTCTAAAACCACAAAAATCACGATTACGCGAACAGTTCTTGTTCGATTTCAGAGATTTTTTCAGAGATTAAACTCGAGATCAATTGAAAACAAAATGTAAAATATTTTTCAAGTATCAGTAATATTTCATTACTAATTGATCTGTGAAAAGAGAGCACTCTAATTTATTACAGAATTCTTCTCCACCACTTTGTAAAAGAACCAAACAATTCAGAAACTATCTCTTTTACATTATTGTTAAGAACATTGTAGTCTTCCTTTTCTCATAAAAATATGTTGGCTAACTGTTTTCGTTTTCTAGTAGCAGTAAAAATAGCAGAACAATCGATTTTGTTTATTTATAATTTTTGGATAGAAGGTTGCAAGGGCTACAATAACATGTAAAAAATGTTAGTCATTAATCATTATTATTATTTTTATCAAGTTTTTTTCTGTTTTGCCCAACGAAAGTCTACTACATCGTTAAGTGTGTAAACATTTTATTCAATCTTCTAAATATTTCTAACATTTTTATGCAACTTTGATTGTTTAGTATTGAAACGATACACTTACAACATACTACTGGTAGATCAGTAATTAGAAAACTTCATTAACCTGATTAATTAAAGCGCGGTGGTCGTTGCATAGAGAGTGTTGGAACAAGACACTACAACCATCGTCCTTTAATTCATGATCTTTATTATTTGCACTCACAGCTCAACATTTTTGTATTTCAATTGATAATTATTAAATATCTTTTTAATTCGGACTTGTCATCACAGGTTCAAAATAAGTTTTTTCAGCTAACTGCTGTTGTTTTATTCATTACAAGTCCATTCTCATGACTTGAAGTTTTGTACTGCTTTGATCTATAGACTCTCTCCGACACTAATACTCAACATAAAAATCAAACGTTGATGACAACTATGTTGTAAAAGCAAAAGTACACTGAACAAAGAAAGATATAGTCAGCTGAAATATTGCATATCTGTGACATCAACACCAATATGCGTATTATCCAAGGGCACCAAATTTGAACATGATACTGGTAGACCCATAGTTCAAATCCTGCATTAGGCTGAACATCAAAAAAGGTTGCCCCCCCCCTCCAAAAGGGGTTAGTGTGCTTCAGACTCAAAGAGAAGGCCAATTCCACTGGCCGAAATTCATTTACTAACTAATGAATGAATGCGACTTTTGGGAAACCATGGTTATATGGCGCTTGTGTTTGTACAAGCCCGGTTGACACCAGGATAGCGCATTACCATTTGATAGAGAGATGACCAGTCCCAAACATGAATATGGCTTCTTTGGCAAAAATGCACTGCAATTTGCATGAAGACGTTTTTTTTTGTTTTTTTAAAATTATGTTTGAACATGATACATGATATGTTCAATCTAAATATGTGCCAATTCTAAGCTCCAAAGCAACTAACATCCTTTTTTAAAATAAGATAATATTTTTGGTGACATTCTTCATTCATTCTTCCATGTTTCGAGCTTCAAGTACATTTTGTATACCAGTACTGTAAATCACGATTAGATAATTTTACCGCTTTTATGATTGACATAATGTTGCGGAAATCGTCGACACTGTGTCGTAGGACCCCAGAGAATTTTCGCTGCTCAAAATTTCATGATTTTCACTGATTTGTTTCTCTAGTAAAATTAAAGCAGTTGACAGTAATGTCATTGACGCTGGCACATTGCCAGGAGTCGTGTTATTCCTGGAATTAGTAACAAATAAGTTTCACTTTGTAATGTTAGACAATGCAGGGCCCATCCTCAGGTAAACATATTTGTAGCCAAGCCTATATCTAGTCAACACACCCATGTTTCTAAAAAATATTTGTAAAAATTTATAAACCCAACTGTTTTCATTTGAAGTACCAAGATGAGATGATTTGATTGGTTAGGCAAACGTCTCCATTCATTGAATCACCCTTCCCCATTCATTTTTTTCTGTTAGACTTATATAGTTTAATGATTCCACAGTGGTACATGTATTGCTAATACTACTTTGGGTAGCTAGTTGATTCTGCCACAGTGATTGTGATTATGTTAACTTATAACTAATTAATAGAATGAATAAAGGTTGGATAAAATTTTGCTCACAAAGAATTTTTGTTGTAAACGGTGAGCCATATTTCTTTGTGATCAGTTAAAATCGAGGTGGTAATATTTCCAGAACCTTTTTGTTTGCAACTTTTTTTCAATGTAGTTGTATATTTCCATACAATAGATCTGACTTCTGAATATAAACATTGAATATCAGCAGGATCTTCTACCCATCCATATTTATATTAAACATGTAAGCCTTTATCTTTTTCGCTGGGAAACAAGGATTGCTTATCTTACCTGGTGAGTTTGATCACCAAGTGTAGCTTACCATTTACTTACCCTTGATTGAATGCCATGTTACTTCACTTATCTAACACTTTTGTTCCTTATTCTTTGCAGGAAAATCTTCTTTGACAATCCAGTTTGTTGAAGGCCAGTTTGTCGACTCATATGACCCCACCATAGAAAACAGTAAGTGTTCATAAACTCTCTACACACAACACTTGCAGGGTAAAATTTCATAAAATGGTCTTTAGTGTATAGGAATAAACAATAAACAAGTTAACTATACAAATTGAAAATCAATGTTCGTCACCTGGACGAAAAAACCAACCCCAGAATCCCAAAATACCATTTGTTTTTTGGCGAACCTTGACAATTTGAGAACAGCTCTAAGCAAGCCTCTATGTGAGCCTCTGGGGGTAAACAAAGGTTACTTTACACTGTCGAAGAAAAAAAAATATTTGGTGGGCTTAGTTTTATCAGATTTGTTGTCACTGTTTTTTTTTTCATGTATTGTAGTTATAGTTAATATTTAAATAAATATAAACACATTTATTTTGAGTACTTGTGAATTCTTATTTCATATCCTCTTCAGCTTTTACAAAAACCTTCAAGGTCAGAGGTCAAGATTTTCAGCTCCAACTTGTAGACACTGCTGGTCAAGATGAATATTCTATATTTCCACAATCATATACTGTAGATATCCATGGTTACGTCCTAGTCTATTCTGTTACTTCAAACAAAAGGTGAGCATGAACACGCAATGTTAACTTGTTCAAGTACTTCAGCGAGTGGTTTTATCAAATTTTAGGTGTGTGTAAATTATGCGTTTTTAGATTCTGATTTAATATAATTTTTGAGATATGCTTCAAAGAAATCAAAACTTTCAGTTGAGAAGTGCTGAGGTACATGTACACACTCTTGGAATTTGTATACATACTGTGGAATACTTTATTTTCGCTTGGAATTAATTTTTCGCTGAAGGAATGGTTCAGTGAAAATAAATTCCAACGAATATACATTTTTTCCTATATTTTACATTCAACTAATTAAAAAACAGTGAAAATAAATTCCATACAAAACACCCAAAAAGCCTTTTCAGCAAAAATTAATTTCAGCTGAAATAAATTACTTTACAGTAAACCAAAAATTGCATTTATAATATGATTATTAAACTATTTTGATCATAGACTCAACTTTGTCATGTACTTCTAAAAGAGCACATATAATATGTTGTATGCTTAGCATACATGTAGATCACATATCAAAAACGAAAGTATTTTCAATCAACAAATAACAATAATTAACTTTTCAATCATTATGTTTTTTTTTCAGTTTTGAAGTGATAAAAGTTATACATGAAAAGTTATTAGATATGATAGGCAAGGTTCAGTAAGTGTCTTTGCTTTTCAATTTTTCTTACCATAAGTCAGAGAAGTATTGTTTTTTGACACTAATGTAGCTGAAAATGCCACAAAATTTGTTTTTTCATCTCAAATAGTGTATCATTCTCTCCTATCATCAATCACATCTTTAGTTTTTTGAACAGATAGCTAAGACAGTTACATAACACTACAAATTAACCTCTGAAAAATAATATTTTATAAAAGTTTATGTGTGTTTATGGGGCTGATGAATGAGACTTAATAGACGTATATTATCATGTATATGATGTTTTATAGACTAATAGACCATTTTCTGTTCACTGCGAGAATCACGCGCTATGTGTGAAATCAAATTTAAAAACTGGACAAACAAAGGTCATAGCATCGTAGTGGCGTCAAACATCGCGTGGGATTCGACAAACGCAAAAGTATTTTTGGGGGACATTTCCATGCTTAATAATGTGCTGTCCGCATTTGATGATAGGCAATTTCGATTAAGTAAGGGTATTTGGAAGCAATATTCCTCTGTCGAAGATCAACCGGTCGATATGAGCTGCAAAATAAAGAAATTCTAGTTCAAAATCAAATCGTTTGATTTTTGCAGCAGGCATTCGACGCACGTCTTTCATGCATCTCGCGAGATCTCGCAATTGTACGGAAAATCACCTATTAGGGCCGAGTCCATTGCATTGTCTATCCCCTGCTGAAAAATGGAATGCTCCAGAATGGGTGTGACCACCACATTCTCTGAACCAATGCAAGGCTATATATACAACACCTGGAATTCTGACCAATCAGAGAGCAGCTTGTTTGTCTACAGTTTTTTTCAATGTATCAAATTATGCCTTGTATTTATGTTTTAACTCAACTACGTTCTCTAAATAGAATCAGAAAAGTGATTTGTAAATTGCGTGCTAATTTGCTAACCCTACCTACTCCAAAATTGAGATATACAATACTGTTATATCCAGTTTCAGTATCTACAGAATACCAGAGTTCTCTAATCAAAACAGTGACCTCTACACACTCCTAATGAGACAATGACAGGAGATTTATGATGGCTTTTTGACTCCCATGTGCGAAGCGCAAAATGGGAGTCTTTGCAGTTAGTGTGTCTGTATGTGTGTGTATGTGTATGTGTGTATGTGTGTCCGACTGTTCCACTGCTATCTCAAGAACCATACATCGGTTTTTGATGAAACTTGGTGCATAGATGCTCTGGGCCAATGCGCAGATTTGATTAGGTTTTGGTAAAAATCCATGCTCGTTAATTACCTAATTTGCATGATAATTAGCTAATTTTTAGCTGTTCTATGACTGTTCCACTGATATCTAAAGAACCACTCATTGGATTTTGATGAAACTTGGTACATAGATGCTCTGAACTAATGCTAGGTTTTGGTTAAAATCCACGCTCGTTAATTACCTAATTTGCATGATAATTAGCTAATTTTTAGCTGTTCTATGACTGTTCCACTGATATCTAAAAAAA